CCTAAGGTGAAAGGAGTGCATGCAGAGCGGTTGTTCCTTAAAGACGCAATCCTCAATCACAAAGGAAGTCCATTCCCATTAGAAGGAAAGGTAACAAGAGGGCTGGGAATATATAACAGGAATATCATGGAATATCATGGATATAACAGGAATATCATGGTCCTAAGTAAGAATTAGGCCCTACCTAATTCTTAACCCAAGATAAAGAGGCATACAAACAGTGGAAGCTTGGGGCATGCCCCAAGGAGGACTATACAACAATGGTCTGCACTTGTAGGGAACATATTTGAAGGGATAAGGCTAGTTCTGGCAACTGAACTAAAATTAGCAACAGGAGTCAAGGATAACAAGAAGTCCTTCTTTAGGTACATAGGGAACAGGAGGAAAACAAATGGGTGTGTGGGGCCACTGCTCAACAACTCAGGACAGAAGATTACTGGCACTCAGGAGAAAATTGAACTTCTGAATGACTACTTTGCTTCGGTCTTTCACCGAGCCAAGGGGAAAATCATGTTGGATAGTGTACAGAATGAGCAGGGTAGGAATGAATGCCTTCCTACTATTACTGTAGAAGTGGTATGTAATCATATGAAAGAATTAGACACATAAATCAGCAGGACCAGATGAACTTCATCTAAGGGTGCTGAAGGTGCTGGCTGAAGTCATTGTGGGACCACTGGCAAAACTTTTCCAAAACTTGTGGCTGTCTGGAGAGGTCCCTGAGGACTGGAAGAAGGCCAATGTTGTGCCCATCTTCAAGAAAGGGAGGAGGAAGGACCCAGCTAACTATAGGCCAATCAGCCTAACTTCTATCCCGGGGAAGGTCCTGGAAAAATTCATCAAGGTCTCTGTATGTGATAGGCTTCAATGGTAGGATTCTGAATGACAGGCAGCATGGCTTCATCATGGGCAGGTCTTGTCTTACCAACCTCATCTTTTATGATCAGGTAACTCACCACTTGGATAAGGGAGAGTAGGTTGACATCGTATACCTTGACTTCCAAAAAGGCCTTTGATCTAGTATCTCACTAGTTCTCGTGAGTAAACTAGAGGACTGTGGACTCAACCATGAGACAGTTAGGTGGGTAGGGAGCTGGTTGTGGGGTAGGACCCAGAGAGTTCTAATGAACGGATGTGTTGTCTTGGCAAGAAGTGGCTAGTGGTGTCCCTCAAGGGTCAGTGCTTGGTCCGGTGATTTTCAACATCTTTGCTATTGATTTGGATGTTGGGGGTGAAGAGCTCACAGGATAAGTTTGCAGATGACACCAAGTTATAGGGAAGCCTGCTCACGCTTGAAGATAGGCTGCAGATACAGGCAGACCTAGATAGGCTAGCAAGTTGGGTGCATCAGAATCAGATGAAGTTCAACGTCAAGAAATGTAAAGTGTTCCATCTGGGGACAGCTTCCTCCCCTACACACCTACAGGGTTGACAACGTCAAACTGACCAGCACCACAAATGAAAGGGACCTGGGGGTAATAATAGATCACAGTATGAATATGAGCTAGCAGTGTGACGTTGTAGCCAACAGGGCAAATAATATCCTGTCATGCATCAATTGATGCATCTCCAGCAAAACCAGGGGAGTGATTCTTCCTCTCTGCTCAGTATTGGTGAGACCACAGCAGGAGTACTGCATCCAGTACTGGGCACCACACTTCAACAAGGATATGGTAAAGCTTGAGAGAGTCCAGAGAAGGGCCACCCGTATGATCAGAGACTTGCATGGCAAGCCATATGAGGAAAGGCTGAGGGTCCTGGGACTCTTCAGCCTGAAAAAGAGAAGGCTGAGAGGGGACTTGATAGCGGCTTACTGCTACATCAGGGGCATACATGAAGGGCTTGGTGAACGACTGTTCACCAGGGTGCCTTTGGGGATAACCAGGAGTAATGGCCACAAAGTCCTGGAAGACCATTTCAAGCTTAACATTGTGAATAACTTCTTCACAGTCAGGGTGTCCAGACTGTGGAATAGGATCCCTCTAGAGGTGGTGCAGTCGCCTAGCCTGGAAATCTTCAAGAGGAGACTGGACGGTGACCTTGCTGGGCTCACCTGACCCCAGTTGTCTTTCCTGCCTGGTGCAGGGGGCTGGACCCAATGATCCCCTGAGGTCCCTTCCAGGTTCTCAATCTAGGTATTTATAAAGCACCCCCACCACTATTTTGAAGTGCAGGGACACTGAATACATATGACGCCAAGGCTGCTGGAATGTGTTAACTAGCTTGTTTCAGCAGACTCAATGAATAGATTCTGTTCTGATGCATACTAATTAGTGCTCATTGGAGCAGGTGTCGGGCACATGTGTAGGTGCCCTAGGTTTTTTTAAGTTCTTTCTTTTCTGCCTCTGTTCAGATTCTCCTTCTGCCTAATGCTCAGTCCTCTTTTTGAATTCTTGTTTGAAAGGGCATCTTCTTTTATGGGTGGTTCTGCTTTCTGGCTACTGTTGCTTGATCCCTAGTCAAAAGCCCTACCAAATTCTTAACCCAGATTGCCCTAAAGTATGAGGATTTATCCCATCCACCCCTATCTAGATGAATAGCAATTTATACCTTGAACCTGTAGGTGGCAGGAAAATTTGTTCCAAGTATATAGCAATTATCAGAAGCTTTCATAGTTCATGTACCTTTCCATCCAAACATTAGGCCTCCAAAATTGGAGTACAACTTAAGCGGAAGGTCTTAAGGTGATTTTTCTTTGCTGGAATAGAAGCATGGAGATGCTGCTCTCTCTTGGCTGCCAGAATGGCTCCCTCTTCTGTGGGCCTAACAAGCAGAAAGGATGAAGTTCAGTGGATCTCTTTTACATCTGTTAAGGAATTTGCAGAATTTATTGGCTGAGAATCCCAAAAGCTGCTACCAATTTCTTAGTGGCTGAGAGGGTTAGCTGCCTAGAAGCTGTGTGCTAACTGGGCCTTTCTGTGCACACGGATGGGAGTGAGGCATATAGGCTGGGTGGGGTCCAATTAATTGGTGGCTGCCTGCATGCTGGATCTGGCCCATGGGCAGTATTTTGCCTGCCCCTGCTCTAGGGCTTTTGTCAGCATAACTCTGGACAATGGTGAGAAAAAAAATCAACCTCCAGACTGAGATGCTAGGCTAGCAATAGTTTGCAATAAAATAATCCTATATGAATTATGTATGACACTGCTGCCCTATGACTGCAACTGTGGTACCAGACCTAATTTCACCTGTTACACAATGGAAGGCTTTTTTTTTTTTTTTTTTTTATCTGTTGCTTCTCACTTTACAAACTTGTTCTGTATGCCTATGATTGGCATGTAAAACCATTACTTTCCAATGCTTAATAGACTTTAACATAAAAGAACAAAAAAGGGCTTGGAGTACTTCTGCAAGCTCATGCCTACATTTAGGTACACTGTCACTACCACTACTAATGAGATGGTGTCACAGAGTCCTCCCTCCTCCCCACTAATGATGCTTGCTTAGGACAGTGTAACCTTGCCTGGTCTCTGAGAGTTCCCCCTGAAAACAGCCTAGATGGCTTCTAGAGCATTTGGCTCCTTCCCACTTTGATACTCTGGCCTTTTGCTCCCTCACTCTCCCCTGGTTCTCTATGGTCCTGACTCAAGGGGCATTTTTACACATGCAAGCACTGCAGTGCTGGGTGCTTTGAAAAGTTCCCAGTGCTGCAATGCTTGCAGTTGTGTAAGCGACGAAAGGCACTTCGCTGCTGAGAAAATGACAGTGGTGTGCTTGTGAAGTAAAACACATTGGAGGCACTTTAGTTCAAAAGTGCACCGCCACCATTTTCTGCATGCTGATGCGCATTTCACCACTTCTACAACTGCACACGGTGCAGCTAGGTGCACATCAGCTCGCATGTGGAGCAGAGTCAATTAAATGGCAGATCTCTGGCACATTGCAAAATGAGAGAGTATGTGTATAAATGCCCAAGGAGCTAACTTCCAGATAGAGGGACTTTACATCATGTAGTACTTTGCTGCTTGAAATCAGGTGCAACCTGATGTTTCAAGCAGCAAACAGACAGCTCTGCTTCAGTAAGGGCTTTTCCTGGGGCAAAGGCCATGCAGCCAGAGGTTTTCTGTCCCCACTCCAGAGAGTTCAGTTGTTTCTTTGTTTCCAATCTAGCGCGCACAATTCTGTCAGGATGTCTGAGTGGTCAAACTCAAGTGTTTGTCTTTTCCTGGTTGTGGGTGTTCTGGTTTCTGATGGAGGCATGAGTTTAAATCCTACTCCTGACAACTCAGGCGTGGTGCAGGCACCTACTGTGGAGATCTTCAAAAGGAGACTGGATGCATGCCTTGTTGGGGGTTTTTGACCTTGGTAGTCTTTCCTGCCCAGATCAGGGGAGCTGGACCCGATGATCTCACAAGGCCCCTTCCAGCCCTAAACTTCTGTGAATCCAGCATGGACAGGAATCTCTGTACTATCAACTGGTTACATTCTAAATCCAACATACCCAATACCTCTGTTACTGATTACTGGAGTACACTAAGATTGTGTTGCGTATACCTGATCAACTGAAGAGTTCGAGGTCACTTTTGCCTGCTTCTGTGAAGTGTATGAAATGTTTGGACTCACTGTCAATTTCACAAAAACCAAGATACTTAAATCACCCTAATTTTTCCATCTAATCCCCCCACATATTATAATTATAAAACAGTCTTTAGAGAATGTTGATCATTTCCCCTACCTGCATTGTCACCTTTCCCAAAAGTAAACATAGATCATGATATTGAACACTGGAAAAAAATCGTCTAATGCTGCCTTCGGACATTTCTGAAGTAATATCTTTGATCATGACATCAGCATCCAAATCAAACGTCTCATCTACTGGGCTGTTGTCATTCCTAGCTTGTTGTATGGCTGTGAGATGTGGACAACACATCAGAAACATTTAAAGGCCTTGAAGTGTTACCATCAGCAACATATTCAGGAAACCCTGCTTATCAATTGGAAGGACAGAAGAACTAATGCCAGTGTTCTGTCTCTAGTAACTACCACCAGCATCAAAGTCATATTTCTACAGCACAAGTTCTGCTGGACAGGGCATTCCATAAGGAATCCTGACATCCAGCTTCTGAAACAGGTCCTATACCCCCAAGTCGCCAATGGTCATCACTCTAAAGGGAGGAGGGGCAGGGCACAAAGAAAAGATTCAAGGACACTGTGAAAGGCAATCTGAAGAAATGTGATATTAACATCAGTACCTGGGAGACTCAAGCGCTGAATCATCCCAAGTGGCATCATGAGGTACGATAAGGCATCAACCATTTTGAGCACACACGCCTCAAAATGGTGGTGAACAGATGAGAAAGACAAAAAGAAAGATCTGTGACTTGACATCACCAGGATCCACTCTGTCCTTCTGGAATAGTACATCATAGTTGTTAAACATGCAGATCTTGGATTGACCTCTTCAGTCATCTCTCTGGACTTGATCGTTTCCCTATTTACTGGAAGACCATCATCTATGTATCAAGGGAGTGCTGCTGATGAGGCAGATGTCACCTGTGCCACATAGGGTAGGCTAGCAATGCTGGTTTCACTGTCCCTTTAACCTGTTATTTCCCCAAGTACTAACTTTATGGGTAAAAATGCAACATTATAACATGAGCACAATTAAAGCAAAAATATTACAGTAAAATCCATAGTCTGTTATAGAAAGTCTGTTGTTTTTTTTTGTATCCCTGAGAATAAATAGGGAGAAAATAATCGCAGTCAGGTTTTTCAAATGTTGCCACCTAAAATTATGGTCGTAAATTGTCTGATTTTTAAAGATATTCAATGCTTGCAGTTTCTGTGGACCTCAGTGGAAGCCAGCAGTGCTCAATAACTGAAAATAAAAGGGTTTCCTATTAGGGTGTCTAAACATTGATTTGGGTGCCTAAATTTATATATCCAGTTTGAAAACGTTGACCTTCATGCTGAACAGCTTATTATGAATAATATCAAATACTGGAGTTCACTTGAAAATGATGAATAAAATATTAGAGTAATAAAAATATTGTGCAGGAAGTAAAAGTTAATTATTCCATTTAAAATCCTAAGTGCCAATGATAATTGTAAACGTGCCAGATCAGAAGACAGAATAATTTGTTCGTGTCCTGCAACTAGATATTATTAGCAAAGATGTTTCAATTCAATTCAATTTATTAAGTATTCTGGCTGAAAGCCATACTCCCAAAAACAACATAATAGACATACAACCATAATATAAATTTGAACAAAAATAATAGAAATGAAAAATATAACAACAACACAGGGCCAATCATTTTAAAAACATTGTTCCTACTCCTAGAATTAACATAATCAAATACAAATATGGTGATAAGTCAGATCATGAATCTATAAAAATATTGTGCGTAGGTCCACAATTAACATAGCAAAAAACAAATATAATGATAAAGTTTATTGGTCATATCAACAGTAAAGGATGTTTAGCTTTGATCACTTCAGCCTTGTTTAGTTAAGATAAATACTTGTATTAAGAATTCTTCAGACAGTAATTTTGCATGATTCCTTTCTAGTTGCAGATTCATATAAATGAATAAAAATAGCTTTCATCCCTCTATCAAATGTAAAGAAGATTTCTGTTATGAAGATGGAGGGACTGTTCACCTGACTTGGGTTATGTTGAGTAGAAGAGACTGACTCTTGGAACAGAAACTACTTAAAATGTGCTTCAAACTACTCATCTGAACCAGAATCTGAAAGGTTTGTTCCCTCCATCTCGATTAATATTATACCTTTATCATTTGCATTGTGTGGTAGCACTTAGGAACTCCATTTATGTTAGGATTATAAAAACACTTAATGAAAACAGGTTCCTAAGCAGTTAATAGCTGAAGAGTTTTCTGTTCTAATGTGGTATCTATTACTAATCTACCTACTGTTCTAAGCCATAATAAGGAGAGTAAGAATGAACTGCAGGTACTGGTGATATGAATTGTATTGTGCTTTGAAATACCAGCGAAAATTTCAGAAAAAGGGTAGTTAATTAACTTTATATTCTGGATGTTACTGTAGCAAAACCCCCAGTTTTTCTTTTTTAAATTTATTTTAAAATACATTCCTTCTCCTTCCCCAACCATTTCTGACTTTTTCTCTCCCTATCTATTCCCTATAGATAAGTATAAGTAAGCTAAGATGTAGGATAAGCTTTAACATTTTATTTTAGGTAGTAAGTTTTATTTTTCTCTTCCCTCTTTGCAAATAAGTGCCCTGCTATTTTGATATAGGTATCCACTGTTTTATAAGTGATAACTATTATGTTTTGTATTGATTGATTGATTTATTTATTTATTTCTTTACTGCTTTTATATTGTGTGATTACTGTTTTAGGCCTATATATGTAAGTTAGCATAAGTCATGTCAAGTTTCCATCTTGTAATGTCAAGCCTCCATCTTATCCCCATGCCCGGTTGTGTAACCTGTGATTCATACCTAAACCTCTTATGTAACTTGGTTCCTGAATGAATGGGGATGAATGAGGGTGCTTGAGAGACAATGGCAGTAGGTCTAAAAATAGCTCCCTCTGAATGAGCGAACCATCAACACCAATACCTGGACCAATGACCCAGCCCTTGGAACCACCCTCAGCATTCAAGAAACAAAAGATGAGGCAACCCACCATTGTGCCAGGCTGCACATGCTCAGTAAGAACACCTGGAGCTCTCTGGAACAGAACTGACCTTGCCTGGACAGGCCCTCCCCACAGGAGATCAGAGGTAGTCTGCCCCATAAATGGGGTAGTGAAGACTGACTCCTTGGGATACCCTCTCCATCTGGACCAGCACCATGCCACACCACCTATCCACCCAGAGGCC